TATATATGTACATTATATGTATATGTTCCCCTTCATTGGGCCATCCTTCCCCTATTTTTATTTTTTTTTTTTTTTTTTAGGTTATGGATTTTTTTTTTTTTTTATGACAAAAATTTTCAATGGAAATGATTTGAAATGGAATGATCTGAAAATACTAAACCGACCTTTCTACATAAAAAAACCCCAAACCTTGGCTCTTTTATTGTTCACTCAAATACCAACATGGGAATTCAAACTTTTTGATTTTGTTTTTATAGCAGAAACCGGGGTTCCTGTTCAGTTCCACTTCTTAGAAAGACCAAAATAAGGAATTGCAAGCCATCTCCAACTCACCCGGCTGTACCATCTGTTGGTGCATAACAAAACTCTTTTTTGTTTCAGAGGCGGTTCACAGACCCCGCTAGACCCTTCACCTCTTGTGTGTTTCCCTATGACTTAGGACTTTTTCGTAGAAGTAATCTCTACGATCAAGAGTTGCATTCATTTTTTTACGAAGATCTTGTAGTGATGATGGGAGAGTCGGACCACCAGGTAAAGTCTTCTCCAGCACATCCCAAAAATTCTCAATGGGGTTAAGGTCTGGACTCTGTGGTGGCCAATCCATGTGTGGCAATGATGTCTCATGCTCCCTGGACCACTCTTTCACAATTTGATCCTGGCATAGTCATCTTGGAATATGCCCAATGTGCCATTATGGAAGAAACATTGTGTAAAGCCTTCTCCAGCATATCCCAAAGATTCTCAATGGTGTTAACGTCTGGACTCTGTGGTGGCCAATCCATGTGTGACATGTGTTACCTTTTTTTTGTTGGCCAGGCAGTGTATATGAGGGCAAAATAATAATAAAAAAGTCAAACTGGCAGAGGTGAAGAGTCTGGTGGGGTGTACGAACCACCTGGAACAATTATGACTTGTTGATGAACCAGCCGATGTGGAGTATGGCCTGCCTTTGTATTGCTTCACGCAAAGTCTAGTCTACGGCTTGCCCGTTCCTGAATGAAGAACTCTAAATAAAATGAGAAAAAATTGTAACAATATATATCAAGTGTTAAAGTTCTGTAGCCCAGTAGTCATAGGTCAGCTGATCAAAAGTCAACCTACTATGTCTGTTATGCTGGTGATCACCAAGAAGACTTCTTTGACTGTTGAATCTGAATGTTGGAAACCAAAGATGGCCGGTGGGCAATGCGGGTTTTCTAATTGAGCGTATGTAGATTCTTTAATCAGCCCAGGCACATTGTCATCTAAATGATAAAGTAACAGTCCACCCTTTGCACAAAAAAAGTAGTAAATGCATCAACATTAATCTCATAGCTTAGACATTTTTTGGAATGAAGCCTGCAGAGCCTTGCACCCGCGATCGGTGTGTTGGTGGTGCAATGCTGATTCCTGCAAAGTTTTAACCCCTCCCCAGGTCTGTATGGAGGTACGGACCTGGCTGGAGGAAATAAGGCTTGGGAAGTGAAGGAGGAGGGATTGCCGACCTGCTCTCAACATGTCCCATCTGCCACCATGGTAGATAGGACATTTAGTCGTTGCTTGTAAACAATGCCAGACCTGGATGACGTGGCTGTGTGCTGCACCCTTGAAAAACCCAGCAGTTCCGGTACGAGGGCCTGGGGCAATTTTAAATATGGTGATTTTGGCCCTAAATATGGGGGCATAACATGAAACAGGGTCTTGGCCTCTGAACCTGATGTGTCCATTCTATGCCGGTCTGAAATGTTCTTTTGTTTGAATAAATTCTTCTGGACTGTATTACAACTGGTAGTCCCTTGATTCTTCTTCCATGCTCATGGTGTCCTAATGAATATATGTTCCACTTACACATACTAAGCCAAAGGTATCTTCGTATTTAAAAGGGGATAGTGGAATTTTCAGTAACTGTGGAAGTCTGTATGAATAAATAACTTGCCTCAAGTGTCAGCGATGATATGAATTTTGCCATAGTTTATGAATAAATAGCAATCATTGAGCTCCATGCCATTGTGGAAACAGTTTGGAGAAGTCACCCGGGTCAACCTGGGCATCACCAATAACCCCCTTATAACCCGGGTCAACCTGGACATCACCAATAACTCCCTTATAACCCGGGTCAACCTGGACATCACCAATAACCCCCCCATCACCCGGGTCAACCAGGGACGTCACAAATACCCTCCCATTATCCCCCGGGTCAACCTGGGACATCACCAATACCCCCCCATCACCCGGGTCAACCTGGGACATTACCAATAACCCCCTTATCACCCAGGGACGTCACCAATACCCTCCCATCACCCGGGTCAACCTGGGACGTCACTAATACCCCCCCTTATCACACAGGTCAACCTGGAACATCACCAATACCCCCCTTATCACCCGGGTCAACCCGGGACATCACCAATATCCCCCTTTAACCCGGGTCAACCTGCTTGATCACCAACACGCCCTCTCTGGAGTGAGATTTGGTGCTGATCAATGGTTCTCCTTGCTGGAGAGAAAGCTGTACCAGAGGACCTGCAGTGCAAGGATCTCCCTGCTTCTGTTTCATTCACACTGTGGATCTGTGCTTCCTCCACCTCTTGGTCTGCTTATTGCTCCATCAGTCATCAGGGGGAGAGCTCTGATGTCAGGAAAGCAAATCCCTGCACCTCCACCAAGATGGCCACCTTCATGCACAGACACAGTACAGAACAAGGGCCGGAAAGTCAGTCATGGTAATACTAATGACTAGTCTTTTGGGCACAGCTTCCGCAGCTCAAGTCCTCTTACATGACTGATCATAACTGTAAAATGATGGTCTCCTGACCCTCCATAGTCCTCCTGAGGTCACAGAGTTAAGTATTTAGAACAATAGCTAGCATGGCATTGCTAAAATCAAAGCCCCGTACAAAGACTTGAATCACTTTATATTCTACTTCTCATTATTGGAGCTTAGACATCTCTATAGTCACAGAGGCAATGATGTCATTGCATGATGCTGTCCCCTGGGAATTGGGCCCCGTAGCGCTAATATGGTGTCTCTGAATGATGCTGTCCCCTGGGAATTGGGCCCCGTAGCGCTAATATGGTGTCTCTGAATGATGCTGTCCCCTGGGAATTGGGCCCCCTAGCGCTAATATGGTGTCTTTGAATGATGCTGATGCTGTCCCCTGGGAATTTGGCCCCGTAGCGCTAATATGGTGTCTTTGAATGATGCTGTCCCCTGGGAATTGGGCCCCGTAGCGCTAATATGGTGTCTTTGAATGATGCTGTCCCCTGGGAATTTGGCCCCGTAGCGCTAATATGGTGTCTCTGAATGATGCTGTCCCCTGGGAATTGGGCCCCGTAGCGCTAATATGGTGTCTTTGAATGATGCTGTCCCCCGGGAATTGGGCCCCGTAGCGCTAATATGGTGTCTCTGAATGATGCTGTCCCCTGGGAATTAGGCCCCGTAGCGCTAATATGGCATCTCTGAATGATGCCGTCCCCTGGGAATTGGGCCCCGTAGCACTAATATGGCGTCTCTGAATGATGCCGTCCCCTGGGAATTGGGCCCCGTATTGCTAATATGGTGTCTGTGAATGATGCCGTCCCCTGGGAATTGGGCCCCGTAGCGCTAATATGGTGTCTGTGAATGATGCTGTCCCCCGGGAATTGGGCCCCGTAGCGCTAATATGGTGTCTCTGAATGATGCTGTCCCCTGGGAATTGGGCCCCGTAGCACTAATATGGTGTCTGTGAATGATGCTGTCCTTTGGGTATTGGGCCCCGTAGCACTAATATGGTGTCTTTGAATGATGCTGTCCACTGGGAATTTGGCCCCGTAGGACGAACAAGGTGTCTTATCACTATGGGTCAACCTGTATAAGGTTTAACATTGACCGTTGGAACCTCCATCTTTCATCTCATCGCAGCCAGGAAGAAGAAATAACCCTTTACACATGCACTGTAGCCTCCGCCATGTGTTTTTTCATGGAAACTGGCATCTCTCAGAGACTGCGCTTACAATTCAGACCTTCGCAAAGTGTCTGCATCACTTGCTGCCACACTCCAACAGGAATGTAACAGAGTTTACATTACATTTGCATCTTTATAGACTCATTTCTTTGATTTTTGTTAATTAGATCATTGATCTATTCAGCCCAATTAAGATAGTTTTAATGGAAACACACACACACGTGCAGGAAAAATGTATAGAAAAGTTGTTACCTAGACAATAAGAAACAGTAAAAAGAGACCTCAAGTGATACTTTGTAAAGTTTGCTGAGTCCAAGCAGCTTGTATAGAAAGTTCAACCTGATACCTGCATGAGTCAATCGTCATTGCCCCTCCGACATGCAGTAGCCTTGATGTCAAACTAGAGCACGGAGTTGCTGATGCAGCCATCTTTCCTGGTCCCTGGAATGGGCATTACAGAATTTAAAACACCCAAACGGTCCAAGGACAGGGAATCAGCCTTCTGGCTATAGGTGTGTTTGGTCTCTACCTGATTGGCATCTTCCTATACATTTGTGTAGCCACATTGCAAGAAGGTAAATCCAGCACAGCAGGAATTGTGTATAAAGCTTGCGTCTGGTAGTCTATTGCTTTAAAGGAGAACTATGGGGTTAGGGCTTTTCCCCATAGTTCTGCTTAGGGTAACGGGAGAACACAAACTAGCGTCCTCCCGTCACCCTAAGCTCAGTATATAGGGAGCTGTAGCTCACGGTATACTGAGACGCCGCAGCTGAAGCAGATCCCGACAATTATGCCGAGATCCGCCCAGCTGCGTGACTGACAGCTGGCTCTGCCTATCTAGAGGCAGAGCCAGCTGTACCCACCCCCTCTACCATCCGTTCCACCAGTCAGCAGGGAATCCAGCCCCTCCCCGGTCACGGCAGAGAGCCGTGACAGGATCGAGAGGTGAGCGAACGCCGGTATGTGTTCACTCACCTCCCGATCTACTGAGCCGACCTGTGACAGTCTCATTGTCACAGGTCGGCTAGAACTATGAGGTGAGTGAAAAGCACCCGCCTCATAGTTCTCCTTTAAGATGCATTGCCAGACTATTTAGGACGTGCCTCATTAGGGATCTATCATTGTTGAGGAGCGTGGAGTGTATTTCCTCTTGCTTAGCAGCCAACTATCCTAAATACTTAATACTAATAATGAATTTACAATTCATTATTCCATACCAAACAGGATATAGCCCCGATCGATCCCTAATGGGGCCCGTATAGTCTGGCTGAGCAGCTAGACTAGCAGGGCCAAGCTTTAGACACAATTCCTGTTGTGCTGGGAATTACCTTCTTGCAAAGCAGCTACACAAATGTATAGGAAAATGGCAATCAGGTAGAGACCAAACACACCTATAGCCAGAAGGCTAACAAGATCCATAGACTTCTCAGGGAAAACATATTTTGCAGAGCTAGTGGAGGTTTATGACCTACTGCATGCCATACAACTGTCTTTGCATCAAATGCGTCTTACATTGGACTGCGTGCCATCAAAAAGGTGCAGTAACTGTGTAGCACAGACTTGAAATTTAAATCTGACCCTTTTTTTTGGTACGGACCTGTGAATTGGAGAAAATTAGGGCGAGAAAGTGACATTCCCCTGCCAACAAGACCCCTTGTGAGTAAACCAAAAAAAACCTCCTCAGGTGAAGACACATCTTGTGAGATATTGGCTACTCAACACGCTCCAAGATCTGGCCGGAAAGGCCTATAGGCGTTGCAGAACAGCAGCGGGGAAAGGCAAGTATAAATCATGGCCGCCCCCAACTTATTCACCACCTGAGGCAGCCAGAAGGGGGAGTGGCATCGGGCCGAGCCATCAGCCATGCTGGTGCAGACAGACACACTGCCCGCCCAAGGAGATGCCACCTCATTATGGTGACATCCCCCCCAAGTATAATATATAATTTCCAACCTCCCCCCCTACTTTTG